ATTTTTAGCTTGAAATTAAATTAAATTATTTATTTATTTATTTATTTGATAATAGTTTAAATATTAAGAAAATTTATAAAAAATTTTTTTAATATTAATTCAATATATAATTACTTATATTTTAATTTTAATAAAAAATTGTTATTTATAATAATAAAAATAATAAATATTTACAATTATTTAAATTTTATTAGGTGGTTCTAAACTTTTGGTCAGGAAGTGTATTTAAAAATATTTATTAATTGATATATACTATTAGTACTTTTTATACTCTCCAAAAAATAAAACTATTTATCAATTGAATAATACTATAATTTCAAAAAAAAATAGTTTAAAAAAGAAATCATAAATAAAAAGTTAATATTTTTTTATAATCAAAAGTTTTTAAAATAAATTTTTAAAAAATACTTCTTAAAAAGTGTCTTTAAATATTTTTAAATAATAAAAATTGAATAAATTTTTCAATTGCAAATATTTGAATTAAAAATTGTTTTATAAGAGTTTTTATTTATTAGAACAAACTTATTTTTTTTATTTTTATAACTATAGATTTATGTCAAAATAACAATTTTAAGTAAAAAGCTAATATTAATAATTTAAATTAACTATAAAATAATATTTATATATGTTTTTCTAAGCAAAAGAAATTTGTAATTATATTTAAAAATCTCTGGTTTTTGTCAAGTGTTTTATATATAGTAAGTAATAATGGTTTATCTAAAGTATAACATTATTATATTTATATATTAATAATATATTATTGCATTCTTAAGTAAAAATAATAAACAACCATAGCATGCAATTTGATTAAAAGTATAAAAAAAAAACAAATATTGATACAAATATATATACATATTGGATTTTTATAAATATTTGATAAAATAATTATTATTTAAAATAAAAGATTTGATTACTATTAAAGAACATAAATAAAAATTAATATAATTATTTTGAAAAATTTAAAAAGCAAAACTTTTTATTTTTGTTAATATAACTTAAAATAATTTTTTTAAAAAAAAAATCCAACAAAAACCAAACCTTATTTAAAATGTCTAATTAATTAATTAAATGTTTAAAATTCTTGATCCGTTATTTATTTAATATTGCATCTGAAATATATAAATTTTAGATATAAATAAAAAAAAAATTAAAGTCATTTACAAGCTTATTAAACAATGTTTTTGTTGACCAAGGACCGTATTCCAATATTTGTATCTATTTTGAAGTTAAATATTATCTCGTCATTTATTAAGCTTTTTGTCAAAGTATATACGATAAACCACTAACCTGTTTTCTGTCGTGCCCGAAATCCCGGTGAATGGTTCGTCTTTGATGGTAATAAAATATTCAAATTTGAAGGAAAATCATCTAAAATAATTATGGTAATGAACGCTAATCGGCTTTAAAATATTCCTAGCTCATTAAAGATTCGAAGGAAATTTCCATTGCTCAATACACTACATCGCAGTTTTAATAGAACATTAATATAATAAATGATATACATGTAATTATAATTTAAAATGACGATAATTCTTTTAACTCTTCTTCCCAATTCTCTGGCTCTTCTACATCGCCGTCTTCTAACCCTTCTAAATCAGCTGCTTCATTTATCCAAGAGTCTTAAATGTGAATATATGTATATTATTAAAAAGATAAGACTATCTAAAGTGGAGAACATATTTACATGAAAAATAATATGAATACCTGAATCATCACCAGACTTGGAGGAATCAAATAATACTTCACTATTAGATGCTTCTTCCTTTCCCTTATTCTAAGAAGTTAATAAAATAATTATGAATAATTAAAGTTGTTGAAATAACGTATACATCGACAATCAACAAACCTCTTTTGTTTCAACTTGTTTTTCATCGACTTCCTGAGTATCCTTAGATTGTTCTGATTCTTCAAAATGAATTTCCTTTTCTAAATCGGCATCTTTTATTGAATCCAATGCTGTTTGTTTGATGAGAGATACGCGATAAAAATAATTTCTCCAAAATGTTGGTTCTGATACTCTAAAATCCATAACAGTTATTAACTATAAATTATTAATATTAAACATTGGGAAAGACTCTTACACTGCTGGGACTAATTCGAATCGCATACGATTTAGCGTAGGATCAAGATTAAGCGTTGCCATGGCTGTTTGAAAAAATACATGCATGTCAAATTGAAAATTCGTATTTTCTGGTGGTGGAATGGTAAAATTGCGTTTATCCTGTTGGAATAAACAAAATAAAATTAGTAAGAGAATATTACTACAATAATATGTTATAAATTATAATCGTTTTCTAACCTGAGATAGGGCTAATATTTGATCTTTAAGTTCATCTTCATTTGGTAAACCAGCCCATGGTGGGACGGCTTCTAGAAAGTTCAGAATCGCGAAAATTGTTACCTTTAGAAAAACTGTTCGAGATACAATACGAATAAATCTATTTGATATCTACCCGTTCCTGCTTTTGGTTCCTTTGACTCTTCCTTTATTTCTCTAATGAACTCTTCGTGTTGGTGTTGAAGTTCTCTTGTTGTTTCTTCCATCCTTTGTTGAATTGTTTTCGTTAAAGAGGCAACACTTGTAAAAGCACTTGTTGCAAATGCTATAGCAAACAGATACTTTATATTGAATCATTTCCAATAATGTTTAACAAGAAAATGGCAAAGTACTTACATGAAAACATGCTTGTGTTTAAATTTTTAGGAACTTGTATATTCTTTACAGCATCCGGAACGTTATTCATAACAGCAGTAGGAACATTCCTTACAGCACTTGGTACATTTTTCACGACATTTTGAATGTCGATATTTTTCACAGCCTCGGGGAGTTCCATGTTTTTTACAGCCGCGGGGAGTTCCAAATTTTTGACGGCAGCTGGAAGCTCCATGTTTTTCACTGCAGCAGGAAGTTCCATGTTCTTCATCGCTGCCGGAAGCTCTATATTTTTAACTGCCTGAGGCAATTCAAAATTTTTTACTGCTTTGGGAATTTCCATTCTACTATTACAATGGGTTTTCGCGCACAGTATCTTCGGATAGTTGACCAATGAAAAAATATTAACTTCGCGTCGAATTGACTTGACAAATAAAGTTTTATTCAATTTCCGTGAAACTTTATTTGTAATAACAATATAAATTCACATGTATTTTTATAACAGGTTTAACCTTGCATACAGTGAATCCTAGGCCATATTTTAATAATAAATTATTTCTAAAATTATTATTATTTTATTTTTTATTTTTTTTGTATGTAAACATTATAAATTTATTAGTCGTATATAAAGAAAGTAATAAAAATTTTTAAAAGATATATAAAAGATAATTTTTACAAGTTAAATATTAATTTGTATACAAAATAATTTTGGTTAGCAGTTTGTTTTAAAATAATAATAAATAATTATTTTTTTGTTTTTTATTAATTTCAAACTTTAGAATTAAATAAACCCTAGTATGGATATTACATGGGTATTACATAATACATGTACTAATGATAACCTTTTTATACTATATAATATATCTGTTAATAGCCAATGGTCTCTAAATATAATAAGAAAAATGAAAAATTATTTAATTAAAGAAAAACATTTCTTATTTATCTAAAATATTACAATTAGCTTTTTATTAAGATTATTATTTCAACTTAACCTTTGTAGTTCTAAAATATAAAAAAATTTTTTTGTTTTTTTAAAAAGATTAAAAAAAGAAAAAGAAAAAGTTTATATTGATAAAATAAAAATCTATTTAAATCAATTATTAGTTTAATAAAATCTTTTTTAATCTTAAAAAGAAAATAAATTGATATAAGATGAGAGAAAAAAAACTTCAAGCTATTTCTTATTAAGAGGACATATTAACACTTTGCTCTTTTATTATATTTAATTATATCATTGATTATAATATAATATAATATAGAATATATAAGAATATACTGTATATCTTGTTTATATTTTTTTTATATATCAATCAACTAGTTTAAGATTTTAGTTAATCATCAATTAAAATTTCTAGTATAATAAAAAATTTAAGATCAAACTGAAATAAGCAAAATTTTTAAAAAACTAAAATATATAGTTTTTTTATAAATAAACATACAATGATACAGATCTTTATTAATATTTGTATAATTAGAAATATATCAAATGTCTTTTATAATTGAAACAATTGTTGATTTATATCGATTATATTTAATGACAGTTCTAACTATAACTAATATTGTTTTATCTGAGTAATAGCTTACCATCTATTTTAAATCCAATTATGAGAATTATATATCAAAGGTGAATCCAACATATCGGATAAAGTTTTTATAAGGAGGAATGCCTACTACTAGTTTAAACTACCTAACCTATAACTAAAGATGGGTCCCTAAAGTATTTAGTATATAAAATTTACGTCCCTTTATGTCCACGTCTCCTAGAGGACATAATTC